CGATATAAAAAGCAGAAAAACTGTGATGTCCCTTACCCTGAGACAGCTCACAAATACGGTATTTTAAGTGTTTTAAAGGACATTAATAGATTTAATGAAACATTTCCTCTGCCTCCTTTTTTATATAGACAAGTGAAATTATTCCATTTTGATTTTTCTTCACTGTTTTATCATTTATCACTATTTGGGTTCTAGTCATGTTATGATATACGTTGGCCATAATAATTATAATTCTTTATATTTGTACAGGGCTGTGTGGATTACATAGTGTTTTCGTGTGTCTCATCCACAAATTTTCATTTCTTATAGCACATGACATTGTTGGGATATAATCAAGATATTAGTTGAAAGTCAAGATTTACATATGGATCTTCCAATAACAGAGGACTAAACCATTCTGGAGTTAGAACTGTGTGTGTATGTGAGTGTGTGCTTATTTAGGGAGTTTTGATAGATATGAAGCAAAAGCCTAGGAGATGGGTTGGATAAAGCAACTTCAGGGATGAATATTGATCTGACCTCTGGTTATGCTTTAAGTTTATAGAAATAGGTTTAGTTAAATTGGGGCATGGGGGTGGGGTTAGAAATAAAACAGTCAAAGGGGCCTTAGAATCTCAGAGTTGGAAAGGACCTCAGAGGTCATCTAACCTAACCCTCATATGAACAAAAATTCCCTCTGTACCATCCTGTCAAGTTGTTATGAAACCTTTGCTGGAAGAGCTCTTAGTAAGGAGGAACCTACCACCTTCCAGTGACAGTCCATTATAATGTAGATAGCTCTAATTGTTGGAATTCTTCTTTGTGTAAAATCTGGACCTCTACAATTTCTTTTCATTACTCTTAGTTCTTTCCTCTAGGTCCTAGACAAATAAGGTAGGTCTCTTTTCCATGTGGTCACCTATTAAATACTTGAAGGACACTATCCTGTGCACCTTGAATCTTTTCTTCTTAGTTCCCAGTTCCTTCAACCGTGTTAATACTACTCCTGTCAATCAGCTAGTAAACATTTACTAAGTGCCTACTATATGCCAGGCCCTTGTGCTGAGCACTGGGGATACAAAGAAAAGCAAATGGTAGAAGACAACACAAAAAAAGAAGCAGAAAAATGGAGAGTGAAGGGTATGATGAAGGGCAGAATGACGTCCAGAAGAGTGGAGGTGATGAGATGGCTGCCTAGGGTACCCTCCTTAAATGGAGGATCTGGGAGGAAGTCTCCACTTTTGACTTCCACCCTCTCCAGTCAGAAGGAGGGAGGGGCCCTAGGGATAGAAGAGAAAGTGAGTTTCAAAGATGATGTCATCTTGCAGGATGACAAAATTCTAGAGGTCATGCTAAGTCTAGGAGTACAAGTTCGTGGGAAATGTCGTGGGGGCCTTGCATTATAGCCTGCAACACTCCCAAGTGCTGCCTCAGCCAGATTAAAATGTAATTTAGAAATATTTAATAAAATAAATAAAACATAGATAATGTTAATATGTGGTTTTCTAAGTCAGTATGCGCCTGCAGGAATCCTTGCATGTGGTTTAGTGGCCTCTTTTACTGATTTTGATACCACTACCTCTCCTTCCTGCTCACTCTTCTCTGGATATGTCATCATACTGTGGCAACCATAATTTGAGACAGTGGTCCACATATGATCTGAGCAGGACAGAGTACAATGAGACTATCACCTCCCAAGTTATGGATGTCTTTGCATCTTAATGTAGGCTGTGTTCACATTAGCTTTTTTGGCCAGTCAATAAACATTTATTAAGCACTTAGTATGTGCCAGTCACTAGTGACTCGTATTAAGCTTGCAGTTCATTTGAAACCCCCAGGTCTTTTTCAGATGTCTTGTTGTCAAGCTATGCCTTTCCCACCTTGTACGTTGTTGGATCCAAACATAGAGCTTTTATACTTTTTCTATTAAAATGATCTTATTAGATTTAACCCACTATTCTTTCCTGTCTTGATCCTTTCAGATGATGATTCTTTGGGGTCCTAATGTTTGGATCAAAATAAGTTGTTTCAAATTTGCTAACTATTTCTACAATCTAAATTTCAAAAGCAGACCATCTATTCATCCAAATCTTTTGGTCATTGATAAAAATGTTAAACAGCATGGGGCCAAAGACAGACCCCAGTCACTGCGTTAAGGTCCTTTTTCTAAATTGACTTTTGGTTCCAGTCATTCAATCACTTAATAATTAAACCTTACTGTAGCTCTATCTTGTCTACATTTCTCCACATTGCCCACTAGAATAGCATGAGAGACTTTGTCAAATGCTTCACTAAAATCTAGGCGTACCATGGCTGCTTTATTCCCTTCTACTCATCTTACAATTCTGTCACAAAAGGTGATGTGGTTAAGTCTAGCATCGCCTTTTTTTATGATGTTATACCATATTTTTTTTTAACCGATTACTGTTTTCCTCTTAAAATCATCTTATTAATAACATTCTAGAACTATTCCAGGAATTGAAATCAAGCTCACCAACTTAGAGTTTGCAGATTCCAAGTTTTTCCTTTTTGGAAGTCAGAACATTTGTCCTTTTCCAGTCATGCCCTCTTTTCTGTTTTTCATGATCTTTTAAAGATTACTAATAGTTCTCTCTTCCATTCTTAATGATCTTTTAAAGATTACTAATAGTCTCAAGCAATCATAGCTACCAGTTCTTTCAATAACTTCCCACTTCCTCTTGGAATGACTTGAGATATATAATTTGGGACCATTAGATCCTACCTATTCTTTCTCTTAATCCTTTGAAATCTGTTTACCCCAAATATGGGGTGCATATCAGACTGTGTCCAGTTTCACTTTCCTCTTCTCATAAATCCTAGAATCAAGTGGTCACTTTCTTCCACTCCCCCCAACACCTTGCCCAAGATTTCCATCACTTCTACTAAAGCAGCCATTTTCCTCGTTGGTTATAGTCAGGTCCAAATTGTTGGCTCTTGTCACTTGTCTGTCTCTTCCTTTACTTTTTGGAGAATAAAATTATTATGGAAATTCAAAAATTTGTCAGCTGTTCTGCCATTGATAGAGAACTCCAAAAGATATCTGTATGACTGAAGTTTCCCATTATCATATTATGTTTCAATGCCAGTTTTGTGACTTATTTCAAAACTCCTCCTTGTTCTTTGTGTGTGGTGTATAATATACTCCTGTAACACTTCTTCAACGTCTATTTCCATTGATCTTTAAGCATTATACTTTCCTCTCTCTGAGTCCTGGTTTTCTTCAATTGAGTATATCTTCATAATTTTCAATGTTGCTCTTCCCCTACTTTATCTGTTCTGTTTTTTATGTGGTGTACTCCTCCACAGTAATAGGCAGCGGATAGAGTGCTGGATCTGCAGTCAGGAAGACTCATCTTCCCGAGTTCAAATCTGGCCTCAGACACTTACTAACTGTCTACTAACTCTAACCCTGGGCAAGTCACCTAACCCTGTTTGCCTCAGTTTCCTAATCTGTAAAAATGAGCTGGAGAAGGAAATGGCCAATCACTCCAATATCTTTGCCAAGAAAAGTCCACAAAGGGTCCTGAAGAGTCAGACACAGCTGAATGACTAAACAACCACAGTACTAGTTCATTCTCCCTGACTCTGTGCCCATCAGTTGCTAAGCCTTGTTGACTCTGTCTCTGCCCCTTCAGCCTGTCACTAACATCACAACCATCCTAGTTTAAGACCTCCTCACCTATCCTCTAGCTGAATACAATAGCCCCTACCTTCATTGTCTTTCTTCTGTAATCTGTCTTCCAGAGCTGCCAAATTGGCTTTTTATTCCCAGCCTGGCATATAGTATGTGCTTAATAAATGCTTGAATCACATCCCACTAAGTCTCAACAATGCTTATGAAGTCAAATTTGTCTCCCTGTATAAGAAAGTTTATTCCACTATATGTGTGGTGGGGGTTGTTCAGTTATGTCTAACTCTTCATGACCCCATTTGGGGTTTTCTTGGCAAAGATACTGGAGAGGTTTGCCATTTCCTACTTCAGTACATTTTTACAGATGAGGAAACTGGAGCAAACAGTTAAGTGACTTACCCAAGGTCATACAGCTAGTAAGTGTCTGAGGTCAGATATGAACTCAGAAAGCTGAGTCTTCCTGACTCCAGGCCTGACACTTTATCCACCTCACCACCTAGCTGCCCTATTTACATACCTCATGCATTTGCCTAGTTATATTTAAGACCATAGATTTTTATTACCTGCTTTTACTGTCTCCTGCAAATTAATGAGCCCTTCTTCCATTCTTTCAATCATGACTTTATTCTCTCTGATAACCTGGAAAATGAAAAGATCTTTTTACAACCCTGTTACTTTCCCCTCTTTAAGGGAGACAGACTTCTATTTCATGCATATATAACTATTTCTTGGTATGGCAGAAACATAAACATAGTTAATTCTCTGCAGGTTAATGTAAAATTTCATTTATCCTCCATACTTGCTGGAAACATGATCCTTAGCCTTCCTTAATTCTTACTGGCAGCTCTGGGACCAACTCTGTTGGCTAACTGCTATGGAAAACTGTCTGTCTCCCTGGGGACTCTAATTGGAGGGGTTCCTGGCTGGAGCCTTTGTATGCAGCTGACTTCCCTGCTTTTTCCCTTAAGATGATTTTGCCTCCTATCCTTGATTGGCAATTATCAGTTTCCCTGACAAAGTACCAATAAAATAAAAGCTGCCTACAGTTTAGTAGGTGATAGAGATGTGATTCTTAAATCTCTCATATCAGAAGTTAACATGAACATTCCAGTGCAATTATTTATTTTGTTATCCATTTTCTACAGCTGCCAATGCTACCTTTGGTGCTTATAATTATGTTACAGTATTAAAACTGCAGAGGTAGATCCAGACCATAATAGGGCTCACTCTTATTTTAAGAATTCTCTCTTACTTTCAGGAGACAAGTGAGTAGAGAAGCAGTAAACACATCATACCTTTAAGCTACACACCTCAGGGGATCTCAGAAGCCCATGCCAGATCTAATGCTTGTGATCCCTGTTCTCCCTAGGCTGCACTGACAGTGGCTGCTGCTCAGGTGAAGTAGTAAGTTCTCTAGAAGGAGAAAATAATCACTTGCACCTGGTAATTAACTACACCGTGAACTCTGAGACTTCTGGCAAATGAGCTTTTATAGAGAGTCCTTATGTGAAACCACCCAGACTTGAGGAAACCACACATCTTTTAGCAGGTCAAGTAATCTTGATGAATTGTTATCGAAAGAGGGGGAATAATAATAACCACTATGACTTATTAAATAGCTCTGATTGATAGAAACAGTTGTTTAATGGAAGACAGGGCTTTGTACTCTGCAAACAGGAAGCAGAAGTTGGGAACCATACATGTTTTTCTCCTTGTCCTCATTAGTTTATCCAGCCACCAAATTCAACATCTTGGTACAGCAATCAGGGAATTCAGTGGGGGCAGCCAGTAGGGATCATATTCTCGGATTCTTTGTCCTCACTAATCTATTTACCTAAAAGTTCAACAATCAGTGTAGTTTACAAATTCACTGTATTGTGAACCACTTTGAGCCCTCCATCACCTGAAAAAAAAGCTAAACACCTGGATTGGCCAATCAGGAGAAAGACATTTTGGCCCACTCAGTTAACAGACCATAATCCTTTGCATGCTCTCTGAGTGAACCCAAAATGCTCTTTGTTATGTCAGCATCCACACTATTGGATGAAGCTGACTGGGAGAATTCTTCTGTTTATGACTGATAAGGACCAGGAGCCTTGAACCAGACATTATCTTGATTAACGGAACATTTTTTATTTTGATGTTTTATGGACACTATCCTGTTATGACATTCTCTTCTTGTTATGACATTTCATTGTTTGTGAATGACAGAACCCAGGCATCCTGGGGGCATCCTCTTGAGACTATAATTTTGATTGACAAGGCATCCTGAATCAGGAAGGGGGACATTTCCCTGCTCTAAAGGTATATAGTCTCCTTCAACTGGCCTTTCTTTGAGTTCATTTTTTAATGAACTCCCATGCATGTTATGTATGCATGTCTCCTGTTTTGAGAGAAATAAACATGACATATAGCCTGATTTTGTTTGTCTTTCTTAGAAGAAACTCTGTAAGGCTGGCAGTATCATAAAAAGATTTATTAAGCCAAAGCCATTGGTCCACTTATTTAAGCAACAGAACTCCAAAATGACAAAAAAGAACACGCATGATCATTTTTTTTTATCTAATGGAATTTGATCTGTCTGATGTGGCCAGTTCTTCTGTGACACTTCAATTTGGTATTTTGAACTACATTAAAAAAAAACTTGAATAAAACAAATTGTCTGTTTAGCTGAAATAATACGTAGCTCTCAAACCCCTAACAAATTTTATTCCTTGATATGAGTTAACATAGGATAATCCTAGCCCTACTTATCTCAACAGGATTGATGTGAGGAAAGTACTTTGTAAACTGTGAAGCAGTACATGAATGTGCAGTACAACAATGACAATGAAGGTCTTTTAAAAAATCTATTTCAATAAAATTAGATGATTCTGATTTTTTTCCCTCTTTTTTTCCCCATTTCCCTAAGATAACAGTCTCGAGGACCATTTACAGACTGTACTAATATCTCCAAACAACACCAAGACTATCGCTCAAAGAAGATTTGAAACTGTTTGCAAATTCCACCAGACAGAAGCTCTAAATAATGAAAGTGAACCATTTCAAAATGATGGTGAACAGTTATCCTCTACAAGGCAAGCAGTACCACAAAGCCCATTTTGTGGTTCTGCCAATCACAGCAGAGTAAAAAAGGAAGAAAATCCAGAGCAAAATGACACATTGATATTTTTTATCAAAAAAGATGTGCGTACTGAAGAAACTCTGGCAAACTCTCCCAATAGTTCACTTCTGAAGGTCTATGATGAATTTGCATTGCCTCTCCCAATAACAGAAGAATCATTGCTTGACAGCATTATTAAGGACACCTCCCTAAACCTCACGAAGACCTCGAGCTTCTTGTATGAGAATAACATGTGCACAGAGGTTGGGGAATCACTTCTTAAAGAAGGGCTTGACCAGACTGCTATTCATAAAGCCAAGGTGATAAGTCTAATGATGTAGAAAACAAAAGCTTTGAATTATTAAAATATTTATTGTCTTTTTATGTATAGGTTTACAGTACAACACTACAAGTAGTATTGTGTCATTATAATCATAGGAACAGTAAAAAAAAATGTCTTAAACACAGACTCAGATTCTCTCTTCCTGCATGAAACTTATTCTCCTAACAAATCCCAAATGTTCACCACCCCTTTCTATGTCATAGTGATGACAGTGAATATTCCTACTGGTGTTATGGATAGTATTTTCTATTTTTATCAAGCTTCTTTCTTGTTTTAGACTCAATTTAGTTTCTTTTCAGCCTTAGTTCTATGTTGCCATGATAATTTACATAGTTGTATATGGTACTGTGCAGTAGAAACTAGTACTTTGATTAAATTGGACTAAGTTAGCATTGGATATCTTAAGATATTAGAAAGAGGATAATTCTAGAGTCTGTGTAAAGTGAAATGGCCCTGCTGGAGTCTTAGCATTTCAGAATGGTTGTCTTATCCCCCAACTGGATGGCATAATGCTACCAAAATCAAGATTCAATGTAGGGGCAACCTTAGTAGTCGTCATCATTGTCGTCAAAGAAGACGTCTTAGGGTTCCTGGAGAAGTAAGAGAGGAAGAAAAATCTATCTTCTTACAGTTTGTAGTGAAATTTATAAAATGTAGCACTTCACAGGAAGAAATTGAGTTGCTTTAATTAAGCCAACATCTTTAAAGAAAAGAATAAGAAGGTTTATTTGTTACCCTAGACCTTTACTACTTATATGCCAAGCAAAAAAGCTTTTTTTTTCCATGAAAGTTCCTAATTTATCCATCTATCCCAACAGATTGATGCTGAGCAATATGTTGAACACACAAAGAACTCAGGAGATACCAGCATTCTACATTTGCCATGCCCTCTGGACAAAAACAAAGACTTTGTTCAAGATCTGATGCAGTCAAATAGATGTGACCGAAAAAACAGAATGAGTAACATTGTTTGTCGTCAGTTAGATGGGGAAAATCACAGCTATTGCCTTCAAATTAGAAGCGTGAGCAGTCCTTCATTTTCATCAAATGTTAGGAAAGCTTTGATTTAACTTTTTTTTTCTCCCAATGGTGTATTTTTTTAAAGGTCATTTTTGGTAAATTCTGTAAGACTAAGCTTCTTGCATGTGCCTGCCCAGAGCTGGTGTTAATCCCTTCAGAATTAACTGTCTCTTAATATCTGTCTCTTCATTTGTTAAATGAAGGGCTTGGACCCACCAAACCCTATATAGTCATATAGCACTGTTAGTCTCCATAGATCTTTTACAAAGGTCTCCAAGTTCTTCTCTACTTTTTGTTGTAGGCAAAATCAGCATATGCCACTTTTATTTGTATATTTTATGTTATACCTACAGTCAAAGTCTTCAAATCCTGTGACACTCTAATAATGATACAATCAGAGTAGTAATATCATCTTGACATAGGGATCCAGTAGTTTTAATTGGCAGTTTTTTAATGCTTCCACATTTAAAAGATAACTTTTCTCATGGTTGTATATTTATCGGTAGATTGATTTAATTTTTTTTGAAGACAAGAAAAACAGCATAGGGTCTGAAAGGTTGCATGTCCTGAGAAATTATGGGGATGCAGACAGTTAACAGTGTTCCTGTAAAACAGATGATTTTACTGTTCAGGTGATGTTGCTCTCCTGGATCTTAGAGATGAAGGAATAAGTGCTAAATGCACACTGTTTCTTCATATTAAATGGCAGTGACAAACATCTGGGCACTAATGCATAAAACTAATGATCTTTCAATTAAAATCCTTCCATTTTGAGTAGTAGGATATTAATGGAGATTGTCTCTCTTTTTCTCTCTTGCTTTCTCAATTAAAAATAGGTTTTTGTTAATCCAAGGGAATCCCAGAATGCTAGGGAGGCTCCTGAGAAGTCAAACATTTGTCCAAAGGAAGTAAGGACAGAGTCTCCAAACCACCATGAGAATTTCCTGACTTATTTCACTGACACCAGTACTTGGAGTGAGGCATCTATAGAGGACTTCAATCCCCAAGATACAAAGCATGGTTCTGAAAGTTTGCAGCCCCTGGAGGAAACCCATATAGATTTGAATGATGTCATAAATTCGTTAAAACAAGATAACCATAAGCAGCAAAGTAAAATAACAGAACTAGAGTGTAGTAACTTCTATTTAGAGAATAATGTCAAAGAGCTACAAATGAAAATTTCCAAACAACAGGTTTTTGTTGACATCATAAATAAACTGAAGAAGAATGTTGAAGAGCTTATTGAAGACAAGTACAGGGTTATCCTAGAAAAAAATGATATTGAAAACTCCTTGAAGAATTTGCAGAAGGTTTCGACTGAAATACAAAAACAGCTTGAGGAATCTATGCTGGAAAAGAACACTTTAATATTAGAGCTTAAAAAGATGAAAAAAGATTATGGTCTTCTTCAGGAGAAGCATAAGAATGAGTTAGAGCTAAAGAATAAGTCCATAAATTTTTTTTTAGAAATGGACAAAACCTTAAACAAGAAAGAGGAAGAAATAGGGAGGTTACAAAGTCTCAGAGGAGAACTGGAGAAAGCAACTTCCACTAGGGAATTACTCCAAGTAGAATTCCAGAGACGTGAGGAAGTCAAGACGCAGGAACGGCAGGAGTTGAAGTCCAATCTTGGCAAATTGGTTGCTCAAGTTAAAGTTTTGCAGTCAAGTTCTGAAAATGAAAGGGCTAAGAATGCCAAGTTACAGCAGCAGATCAATGAGGTAAAAAATGAGAATACAAAATTTCAGCAGCAAATTGCAGAGAGTGAGGAGCAAAATTATAACTGGAAACTTGAAACAGTTCAGTGGAAGCAACAGCTGGAAGAAATAATGAAATCAAACATTGCAAAGGTATTGGTATAAATTCAAAATCCCTAATGCCAAAATTCATAAGTTTTCAACTGGTCCTAGGTAATCATAGCCTCCAGGAACATTATTGGTTATCATAAAATTGAAGCAGGTTCCAGGATTACTCATATTTTGATGTCATTCATGCTTCAATCGTATAAGATTTTATTTGTGTATAGAGGATTACATGTTATAGTTTTAATAGCAATATACCAGCCTCACTGTGAGGTAGGCCTCACAAAATACTAGCTGATTATTCTTTTAGATTCTATCACAAAGGTGACCTCGCTTTCATATGAGTAGTTTCATATAAATGGCTTCATAGTTCTTGGCTTTGAATTTTTAATTCCAGAATTGATCCTACTCCTCCTCAGACCTATTTCAACCCTCTACAAGTCCTTTGATTGTGACCTATGGAATGTCCATTCTATTGTAGGCAAAATACGTGATAGTCTCAGCCTTTTCCAGAAATAGGACTTCTGTCTCTTAGCTCTAATAAAATCCTGGATTTCTTCTGATAGTTTCAGAAGATTCTGCAAATTGTAGAACAATGAATTTGACTTTAATTCCTGGGAAAATTCTAGTACATATCAGTAATATCAAATTACATGAAACTAATAGAGGCATTTGTTTGCAGAAGGAAGTATTAAAGAAAAAAGAAAGAGAGCTGGAGTGGAAGATACGCATGTTGGGGAGGTTTCTGCAGGTATGTGGGCATCTATGTTAATAGAAGAGCCTTTTGTAATTTCAAGCTTATTTCCATAGATACTATGTTTAACCCGAAGAAACTGGAATTTTTGTAATTGATCCACCTACAGTAACTTACGGTGCTTTTGAGAAAGTTTGTTACTGCTACTATTTTAAACCAGTAGTTCTGTTTTTTTAATCCCTTTTCTACCTTGTCTAATTGACTTACAAAGCCTTTATTAAACACCAACAATGAACAGGGAAGGCTGCTTTGGCCCTAGGATCACAAAGACAAAAAGGAAGCAGTCCCCATTCTCATGGAAGCTTCTGTCCTGAGGTGGGGGGATGGGTAAGAGCAGCACATACACAGGACAACCACATTTTTTTTAACAGTAAAATTAAGTGATGAAGTTGTCAGCTAGGTAAAATGAAATTATCATCCTGTATCAGTTTTTCAGAACCATGAAAGATTGCAAACCAAACCCTAATTTTCAGAATTTTGGAGATGATTTGTGGTATATGGTGGCTGAGTCTTCATGACCATAGAAGAATCCAACATGACCGAAAACTTTGATAAGTCCAAATCATTGAAGCTCATTGGAAAGGGCCTCAGTCTAGCAGATTAGAGGATTTCCTTGATCATTCTTGTTACATAGCTACCAAATAGGTTATATTAGAGAGAGAATATAGTTAGAAGATAATCCTTAAAGTCAGAAAGAGCTGGGTTCAAATTTTGCCTCTGCTACATCTGTGTGATGGTGGGCACATTGTTTAATCTCTCAATGCCACTAGTGAGTCTATTAAAATATCATAAATTAAAGACCAGTTGTTTATCTGTATTGGAAAATTACAGTTCCAGCTCCCTAAATGGATATAGTTTAATACATGTGTATATGACTTTATTACTTTTTAGTATCTATAGGAACTGGCATCAGTTCAACTTTTAATTTTTTAAAAAATGTTTCACCAACTGTTCTGTGGAATCTTGGTGCTCCATGTAATGTGAATAGAAATTTTGTGAGAAAATGTTGATGCTAACAATATTTTCATCTCTAAAATGTTAAGTAAAACTTAACTATTCTCAGCAATACAATGATGCAAGATAATTGCAAACTACTCTTGATGAAAAATGCTATCAACCTTCAGAGAAAGAACTGATGGAGTCTGAATGCAGATTGAAGCATACTATTTTTCACGTTTCTTTATTTTTTGTGGGACGGGAGTTTGGGAGGGTGTGTTTTCTTTCACAACATGATTAATATGGAAATATGTTTTGCATGATTGCAGATGTATAACCTATATCAAATTGCTTACTGTCTCAGGGAGAGAGGAGAGGAAAGAGAAAAGGGAATGAATGAAGCTTTGTTCTATAGAAGTCTACCATTTTATCTTTGGTTCTTTTTTTTTTTTTTTAAAGAAGACTAGCGCGTAATTCTGACCTCTGCTGGCTAAACAAAAATGTCATTGCCAAAGAGAAGCTGCTTTTAGTTTCTCTTTTTTAACACTGTGTTTTTAGGTGATTTGCTTTTCTAAAATTTAGGACCTTCATAAAAAAAAAAAAGGCAGATTCTACGCTTATTTTTTTTTGTTTTGTTTTGTTTCGTTTGTTTTTTTTGTTTATTTGGTTTTTGTTTTTTTGCTAAGCAATGGGCTTGAGTGACTTGGCCAGGGTCACAGAGCTAGTAAATGTCAAGTGTCTGAGGCTGGATTTGAACTCAGGTCCTCCTGACTCCAGGGCCAGTGCGCTATCCATTCTGCCACCTAGCTGCCTCCCCCCCCCCCCCCCCCCCGCCTTTTTTTGTTGATTCTCAACTCTTAACAAGGCAAATTTGAATGTATCCACCACAGGACATGAAGACAATGCATTCAAATTTGTTCCTGGACTGCCCGCCTTTTGAAGAAGAGAGTTTAAATTCACCACATATGAAAAAAACTTCTCAGTTTGTATCGAAGATGCACAATTTAATGGCTCTGATGATGGGACTGCTTACCTGTGAGGTAAATAAAACATTTCAGAAGGTTTGCAAAAACCAGGTGTGGTAAGGCAGAGAAAAAGTTTGGCAAAAATATAACTAGATGTGATGCCTAAAACCTTTATTAAATATCTTCAGATTTCAGAATTACTTAAGGTCATTACCCCTCTAATGATAACAATCAGTTTTTAATGGACTGATTAAGCCAGGTGTGGAACGGGGTCCTCATTTCCCCTATTCCTTTATCTTGCACATTTTGTTGTTTGTTAACACCATCTATTGTAATTACAACAGACTGTTGTTGTGAGCCACAACTCTTTGGTACCAGTACATTCATTTTGATCTGTCTCTAGGCGCTTGTGCTGGAACTTTTTATTTATGAGGCCCAAAATATGGTTGAGGTACATAATAATGCAAGTAATCGGGAGAAGAAAATAGAGATGAACCTCCTGGTGTGGCCAGGTCATCCTCAGATATAGCAATACTGCCAAGTGCCCCAGCGTGCCTCTGCTATTGAAATAACAATTACAGAACAGATAGAGATGTCAAATTGTTCCTGCTTCCAGTGTAATCAGATTCTTTTTTTCTTTTTTTTTCTTTTTTTTTCTTTTTTTTTTGCTGTCTATGATGTTGTTCAGCGATTTTAGTCATGTCTGACTCCATTTGGGGTTTTCTTGGAATAGGTACTGAGGTGGTTTGCCATTTCCTTCTCCAGATCACTTTACGGATGAGGAAACTGAGGCAAACTGGGTTAAGTGACTTGCCTAGGGTGACACAGCTAGTAAGTGTCTGAGGTCAGATTTGAATTCAGGAAGATTAATCTTCCTGACTCCAGGCCTGGCACTCTATCCACTGCTTCACCTAACTTCCCCTTTGCTTTGCATAGGGAGTAACAAAAAATATTGAATGTGTAGTTATTGATGGATGTTAGTGTCCCAGAATTCACATTATCCTGCCCCACCACCTTCAGTACTCCAGTAGGTCTGTGATCTCATTGATGTTAATCTTCCATCCAATGGTGTAGATTACTACCAAATCTATACCTTCTTATCCTGTGTGACTTCCCATCCTATCTATAGGTTCACCTTAGGGGATCTATTCATTGTATACTTGAGTGGTCTCTAGACATCATCTCTAGACAGTGTAGCACACAGGCTATCCACTGGTTATCACCATCTATTGCATGTGACTTCTTATTGTTTAGTTGTTTTTGGTCCTGTCCAACTCTTCTTGACTCCATTTGGGGTTTTCTTGGAGTAGGTTCTGAGGTGGTTTTCCATTTCCTTCTCCAGATCACTTTACAGATGAGGAAACTGAGGCAAACTGAGTTAAGTGACTTGCCTAGGGTCACACAGCTAGTGTCTGAGGCCAGATTTGAACTCAGGAAGATGAGTTTTCCTGATTGCAGGCCTGGCATTCATAAAGATGCCATAGAATGCCACTCCCTGGCACTGTGCCACCTAGCTGCCTTTGCATGTGACTGACCCATCGTCTTTTTTTTAATCTTGCATTCTTCATCATTCTTCAGTGACATCCTTTACCCCACTTCTCCTTATTTGTAATGCATTGCAGACTGCTTATGTCCACCATGCATCTCTCTGTTGGGGAGCCTCTACTTTCCTCTGAGGAGTAGGTTATAAATATAAAGCTGTATGAAATCCTTCCACACAATACTTTTTGAGATGCCTTAGGATAAGTAGCTGAAGTTGGTTTTTATTGAAAACTGTAGTTGATCTAGTTTCTCCAATTTTAATCTTGTTATTCTTCTCAGGATACAGATAGTCCTGATAATGAACATTTGCAGGACAGTGAGAATATTTACGAAAAAATGAAGCGTTTCAACTCTGAGAAAAAAAGTTTGGAAAAAGAGGTATGGTGACTTTTTCTTACTCTTAGAAATAATAACCCTCTTGTTTAGTCAAAGAATAGGCCCCTCACAGGAGTATTTGTTGATTCAAAAACCCATTCATTTAAGTAATATTTAACCTACTTCTTACAAGTATAAGGTAACTTCATCTACTACAGTTTGTTTCATCATGTTTAGGTTCTTGGTTTGACAGTCAAGGATTCTTCAGTTGCCAAAAGCATAGATTTGAGGGTAGAGTCAAGGGAGTCACTATATGAAATAGAGGAGGCAGAAGTATGGTGTTCAAAATGAGCATTATAGAGTCATAAGATCGGAGAGGTGGATCTGAGAGATGCTTCGTTTTGAATCTGAAGTACATACATAACAAGGAATGTAGTAGGCAACAATGCTGCCTAGTTAAAGAAATGAGGCTACATACTCAAGTTGGATACTTAGACTCATGATAGTTGGGCCTTTCACCAAAGGAAAACAAATGATCTGAATTGAGAAAAAGAGAAGACATATGCTTGGAATTCTAGGGAGGTTTTTTTGTGTCTTGTAACTGAAATATAGAAAGAAGGGGCTTAGAAGAGAAAATGTGGGAATTCAGAGAAATCATCCTTCTCAGGTTGGTCTAAATGGAGAGAGAAGCCTAGTTCAGTGTAAGACTAGGGAGATAATAAAAGTAAATTTGCATATATTGATTCAATTTTGATAAAACTTTGTGCCATTAGAATTAATTGGGATTCCAAATATTGAGTAGTATTTTGAATTAAGCCTGTTTTTATATTCAGAGAGCCTTATTGACCTCTCATGAATTTACTTTAAAAATATAATCTCATCTTTATGGAGACACCTATGTTATCTTTAATCATATGTACTTAAAGATTCTTCTTGTGAAGCCCAGTAATGTATAGTAAAGATAATAAGAACACAGAATGATTTTCTCTTCCTTTTATAATATAAATTGTCTCTAATTCTTTCTAGCTACTGAAACATAAGGAAAGAATCGCAACCTTTAGGGAGTTAATTGCTAATGAAAAAATTTCTCAAGAAAATGTTTTTGAGGTATGTGTAATACTTACCATGTTCTGTCTCCCGCATTTTGCAAAGATGATACCACTGATAAACCTTGTATGAATTGATTCCTACTCCCACTTTCCACCCATACCCTATCATCTCTATCTATTTGAAGTCCCTCTCTTTCTTTATTCAAAGCCCAAAATACTGCAACCTCCTCCATGAAACAATTGGACAGCTTCATGTCTCACAAATAGGCAGTTTGCCCCCATGAAAAAGAAACATTGAACATTTCCAGCATGAGGGTCTTTTTGTGGTAAGGGTAGCTGGGCTCCTCTCCACAGGAAATGGCTTCTTGTGTTGCACAGAATAAGGATGTGGATCCACAGGTACCACAATGTGAGAAGTCAAATAATGGCCAGAAGAAAAAGAAACATCAGTGTTTGGTGACTCCTTGCTGAGGAGTTCACCCAACGTGAGTAACAGAGATATTTGCTCTCTCCCTGGGGCATATGTCTGGATGTGATGAAGTCCCTCCCAAGAACTGTCAAACATGATGACTGCTACCCATTTCTGATGATTCATATGAAGACAAATGATACTAGCAGTAGAACCTGAAAACATATTGTTAAGGATTATGGAGTTGTGGACAAAAAACTAAGCCCTTAGGAGTGCAGATGATGTTTTCATCAGTGTTTGCTATTACAGGTATAGGATTCCAAAGAGGGGGAAAAAAGGCAGATTTGGGAAATGAACAATGGATTCAAAATATGGTGCCTGAAAACAGGATTTGGGTTTCTGAACCACAGCTTAAAACACAGAGATAACAGACACTTAAAAAGTGATCAAATATATTTAGACAAATGCCAGCAAAAACACTTTCCTTGTTTTTTGTAAATCTCCTCAAGAGAACTTTAAACTAAAAAGGAAAGAGGAGAGAGAAAACAGCCGCATAATTCTGACAAGCCTAGTACTACAGAGAGAGAACAATAAGGTACAGCACTAAAAGAAACATAGTAAAGCAGGAGGCCAATAATTCACAGAAGGCTCTCCAAGAAGAAATAAAAAAATATTTATGGCTGTTGTTTATATGGTGGCAAAAAAGTGGAAAATGAAGATGTGTCCATCAATTAGGGAATGGCTGAACGTGTTGTAATAGGGATACTAATGTGATAAAATACTGTTGTGCTGTAAGAAATGAAGGGGATGGTTTCTGAGAAACCTGGAAAGACTTGTGTGAACTGATGCAGAGTAAAGTGAACAGAACCAGGAGAGCAATTTATACAATAACACCAATATTATAAAGACAAACAACTTGGAAAGACTTAACTCTGATCACAGTGTGTCACACAGTGACCAACTACAGTTCCACAGGACTCACAACGTGACTTGATACAGACCTTCAGATAGAGAGGTGGTGAACTCAGAGGACAGATTCAGGAAAGCTGGTTTTACATGGCCACTGGGGGATTGGTCAGGCATGGAGTTTGCTTTCTCAGTGGGAGTGAGGGAAGGTGGAAGGGAGAGAATGTGAATCAGAAAATAAAATGCTGAATTTTTTTTTAAAAAAGGAACCAAACATATATGTAATATATATTTCACTTTTTTAAATCATATTTCCCCCAATTACATGTTAAAATAATTTTTTTAAAGTTTTGAGTTTCAAATTCTAGCCTTCTCTCCCTCTTTCCTCTCCCCCCTCCCCAAGACAGTAAGCAGTTCCATACAGGTTGTATATGTGCAATCATGTAAAACATTTCCATGTTAGTCATTTTGTACAAGGAGACTTGAACCAGAAGAAAGAAAGAAAGAAAAAGGAAAAATAGCATGCTTCAGTCTTTATTCAGACAATATCAGTTTCTTTCTCTGAAGATAGCATGTTTCATCATGAACTTTTTGGGATTGTTGTGGATCGTTGTATTCCTGGGAATAAGTCATTCACAGTTCCTCATTATACAATATTGCTGTTACTGTGTACAACATTCTCCTGGTTCTGTTCACTTCATTTTGCTTCAGTTCATGTAAGCCTAGGAACAGAATATATTGAAAAGAGGAGGAGTTACGTTTTCTATTAAAATTTTTTACTCATGCAACAAAATCCAAGAACTTGAGGGGGGAAAATGGTGGAGAGCCTTTGGATAAGGATCAAAAGACCTGGAAAAAGAAGCAATATTATTGTTGGAGTGTACCGTAAACCCTCAGCACAAAAAGGAAGAATTAGATGGGGAGTTTGGGGAACATCACAAACCTGATATGAAAGCATTGTAATGTATGGAGGAGGAGCTGAATTATCTGGATATCTACTGCCACACACTCTCCTTCTGCCAAAATCAGTAGCTGGTCAACTTGTGACATACTTTAATGATGATTTCATCCTTCAAAAAGTGAAAGAATTTTTAAAAAATGAACTGCTATTTTGGATTTGATTCTGGCCATATTGGGGAACCTATCATAGAAGTCGTGATATAGAAGAAAGGAAAACTGCATAATCTGATATGTCACCTAGATTTGAGGAGAGCATACATCAAAGAATTCAGAGGAGGTAGAGAGAAGATCAAATGGTTTAATGTTTTGAAGAGGTAGTTGACTCAAGTAATGGGAAGCCCTCAAGAATGAAATTCTAAAGACATAATCAGAAATAATTTGGATGAGAAAGAAAAAGAGAAACTACCTTAAGAATCCATTATGTAGACACAGGGAACTCATGAACAAATCCACATTTCAAAAAGTTCTATAAAGAACATGGAAGAGGAATACCAAAGAATACCTCAGTCTTGAAAGAATTGTTTCAGAAGCACTGTATCCCAGAATGAGTAGAGGTGGTGCTTGATGCTGTGGACAGCAAAAGGGATTTTTTTACCTATGTTGGTTATAAAAAGATCAAAAAAAGAATGGAGCTACTATTCAAGAGGGATATAATGACCAGACAATTGACCTTCTTAATTCTTGTTTCATTTCTGTTTTCCCTCCTAAAGAGAGTGATCAGTGGAAAGAATAGAACAAAAATGGTAAGGAGGTAGTGGAAACGCAAGGTAAATGAGACAGTTGGGATCAGTGAGTTCAAGTCACTAGGCACAAAGTACATCCTAAGGAATACTGACACGTGTGATTGCTGAGCCACTCTTGGTAGACTTAGACATCTCTTGGAAAATGGGACAGCTAGTACAAGACTAGAAGTGGGTAGATATTGTCCCAGTTTTTTTAGAACTGGGAAAGGGTAGAGTCTACAAGCTTCAATGCTGAGGGAGTTTAACTTCTGTTCCTGAGAAAGTTCTAGAACACATTATTAAGGCGTTGGTTTGTGAGTACCTAAGGAAGCAGTGATCTCAGAGTGGTAGCGTGGATTCCTCAAGGACAAGCTGTGTCAGACTAATCTCAGTTCTTTTTATTCTGAAGTAATAAGGCGGGAAAGGGGTGGGGGCTAGAGAGATGTTGTGCTATACTTAAATTTCAGCAAAGCATTTGACAAGGTTTCTCGTTCTATGCCCATATATCAGATGGAGAGACACAGCTAGGTGATAGGTAAATTTGGGTTTGGATGGAATGACTGGACACAGAGTAGTTATTAAGAGGTCGATGTCAGCTTGGAGAAAGGTCTGTAGGAACGTGCTCCAGGGATCTGTATTTAGCCTTATGTTATTCAACATTTTAATCAAAGACTTGGATGCAGGCAGAGATGGCATGTTTATTCAATTTGCAGACAACATGAAGTGTGAATGGATAGCCAGTTCCCCTGGCTTGGGAGCTCTGTACCTTTCCAAGGGCCAACATCTCTGTGCACTGGAATATTCTCAACTTCCCCAATCAGATGAGCTAATTTGGTACCGGAAAAAGAGGCCAAGGGCTCCATTATGATTAAACATTAAACTCCATTATGAGTTTAATAAATGATTTTAATAGTCATAATGGATGACTTACAATAGGGGCTAGTCTAGAGCAGCTGCCAGATGAAAACAGTCTCAATGATGGATCGAAAGACCCCAGGAAAGCCCAGTCGCAATTACAAAAATCAGACAAAGGGAGGTAGAGCTATAAAGCACATAGCTTGCTGGATATTTTGGGTTTCTGCTTAGTAATGAGCTCATGTCTAAGCTTGGGTATTAAGCCAATGTTATTGGGCAAATGCCCAAACACAAGTTTGTGTATTGGTCACATGTGCTGGTCATGAATTGGCCACTGTGTCCATATTACGGTTATTACCTGGTCACATTATCTAAGTTATGACTTAGTATCTGAATTATGATTTTAAACAGGTCAACATGTCTGGGCTTCCACGTTTCACAGAGTTTTAACTTATGGCTTTCATTTGTTACTGTTTTATGGCCTTTTCCTCAGTGAGGATCTAGATCCAAAAAGGTCTAGATAGACTGAAACAGAGATGTCAGACTGGCTACAGCCCACAAAACTCCTGAGTACACTGGAACCAGATTAAAATGTAATTGGCAAATGTTTAACAAAATAAATACAAATACAGTTCAATATAGATAATGTTAATTTGTGGTTTTGTAAGTTACTATGCTGCCCATAGGGAATGATTTCTATTTGAGTCTGATACCATTGGACTAAAACACTGGGCTGAATTGAATAAGATTAAATTCAAAAGGCATAAAACATTATATTTGCATTCAAAATACCAACTTCAAAAACAACAGAATGTTCTAAATAAATTTAGCTAAACAATATTTTCTGTGGAAAAAAAAATTCATTCCTATTTGGGGGGGCAGTGAGGAGACGGGAAGGGAAAGGAATAAGCATTTATATGGCTCCTACTTTGTGCCAGGCACTGTGCTAAGCTTTTTACAAATTACCTCATGTAATCCTCACAACAATCCTGCAAAAGTGTATGCTAGTCCAGTTTTATAGATGGGAAAAAATGAGGCAAACAGAAGTTAAGTGACTTGCCCAGGGCTACACAGTACAGAGTGTCTGAGACTGGACTTGAACTGAGGTCTTCCTGATTCCAAACCTAACCCTTTATCCACTACCCTTTCCCCCACAGCTGCCTCTTAATGGACTACAATCTCTGTATGAATCAGTGTGATGACGCTGTTAGCCAGAACTAGAGCAGAACACCTAGTGCTCTCCTAGGCTGTAGTAAGAAAGGTATCATGTCTAGGAGGAGATAAATAATATTGTCTTGGTCAGGCTGCACTTTGAGTTTGGGGTTCAGTTGTGGGAATCACCATTTAGGAAAACCAGATGAGTTGGAGTGTGTCCTGAGGAGCATAGCTGGATCCCTGGAGAGCACACTGTAGAGGGATCGGTGGGATGTCAAAGAGAAGCAAGAGCTTGTCTTCAGGTGCTTGCAGGGATGTCACAGAGCTGGAAGCAATGGTAGAAAGCTGCACAGAAGCCTCATTAGGTTTTAAGGAAAGTTTTCCCCTCCTGCTCCTTTTTATTAACATCTTTATAGTCTCATCATAGTAGTGGGGTCTTTGGGTCAAAAGGTATGAAAATGGCTCAGTTCTATAGCTTTTATTCTTATGGGGCAGCTTGGTGGCACAGTGAGTGGAACATCAGACCTGGAGTCAGGAAACTGTTGTTCAATCCTTTTAGGCCTGTCTGAGTCTTTGTGACCCCAATTGGGGTTTTCTTGGCAAAGATACTGGAGTGGTTTGCCATTTCCTTCTCAGCTCATTTTATAGATGAGGAAATTGAGGCAAACAGGGTTAAGTGAGTTGCCCAGGGTCACACAGCTAGTAAGTGTCTGAGGCTGGATTTGAACTCAGGTCTTCCTGATTCCAATCCTAGTGCTCTTTCTACTGTACCACCCAGCTTTGTCACCTCACACATTTGCCAGCTGTGTGACCCTAGGCAAGTCACTTAGCCTCTGTCTTCCTCAGTTTTCTTAATTGTAAAATGAAGATAATAATAGCATCTACTCCCAGGATGGTTGTGAGGATCAAATGAAATAATAATTGTAAAGCATTTAGCACAGTGCCCGGCACATGCTTACTATCAATATAAATGTCAGCTGCTGTGATGATGATGGCACTTTACCTGGACCTTTCCTTTCCATATATATCATACTCCCTTATACTATAGTCATGTCTTTTTACTCATCTTTGATTACAAACTCTTTGAGAGTAGAGTCTAATTGCATTTCCAGTACCATTGCCTTTCACGCAGTAGGTGATTGATTAATAAGCATTTATTGAATGAAGATCTTAGTCACAGACTGGTACACAAATAGCTGGGCAAGATTTCGTGTAAAGAGGGCCTGGGGATTTTCCAACTTTGTATCCCCAATGTCAAAGAAAAATGTTAATACTAAATATTATGTTTTAGGTACAAGTCTGCTAGAAATAATTTTATTTAGCTTATCATTATTCTAGATCCAAGCACTTCTAGCTTAAGGAGTGAAATGTCCAAATTGGCTCAGACATCTCTCTCTACTCCAAGACAGAGGGGAACACTTTTAGAAATCTTGAAGAAAAAAAGCCAGAGTGTTAAAATATATTTGAGGGTGAGGTTAACATTCTAGAACGGTAGTAATTAAGAACAATCGCATAATCTTCAACTAGAACTGCTCCATTCCTCCTTGACTATTCCTCTCGTGTTCTCCTGGAGCAATCAAAGGGACTGTCCTCTGATCAAAATTTAATCCTTTCTAGATGGAGAAAGGTGGGTCATTATACTGTCACTTCAGAGAAGGGTACTGATCATTAACTTCATAAGAGGTATTTTTTTTTGTCCTGAATTTTGGTTACTGCCTTTGACAGTTTCCTTAGCCCTTGACCAACTGCTCACCTGCTAAAGGGATAAGTATGGAAGGGCTTTTAGGTTGTAAACATATTTATTCCTATTTCTGGAGAAACCAAAAAGGAGATTTTTAAAAATGTGCTTCTATACTAGCACAGTGCTTTGCACACAATGAATGTTTAATAAATATGTTTAAATAGAATTTGATGAAATAAAGAAATATCGTGACTGAACATTAATATATTTATTTTTAGGGCAGAGACACTGATTTAGAAGAACTCGAAAATTATACGAACGTGCCTGACTTATTAGGCACCAAATTAAATCAGTACCATGATCTAAATGAAGAGCTTAATTCCCTGGTAAGAAAAACTACATGTTACTATCATTTAAGCATTATAGAGAAGGGGTGGGGAACCTGCAACCTCAAAGCCACATGTAGCCCTCTAGGTCCTCAAGTGCAGCCCTTTGACTGAATCCAAACTTCACAGAACAAATCCTTTGTATTCAGAGGGCCACCCTTGAATGCAGCTCTTTGACTGAATCCAAACTTTACAGAAAAAATCCTTTGTGTTCAGAGGGCCACCCTTGAGGACCTAGAGGGCCACATGTGGCCTCAAGGCCGCCAGTTCCCCACCTCTGTTATAGAGTAACAAATTTTAAAAGAAAAATTAGCAACTCTAACATTTTTTCTGTTTCTGCAGTTCATTTAATCCACATTTATCAATATCATGATGGTGACAAGTTTATTAGCAACAAGTCTTAGCCTATAGAAGGAAAGCACTGGTTTGCACATTTAGCTTTTATTATTATCTTCAGTGCCTGCAAGCCAAAGGTGGACACAGGAAAGTTCAGTGAAAAATGTTTGAAAACATGACTTGGACCCAAACAGGTGGCATAGGCATAGGCCTATAGTTCTATTCCTAAGAGAGGCTGAGGTTGGTAGATTGCTTGAGCTCAGGAGTTCTGAACTGCAGAAAGGCTAAAGCATATCTAGGTAGTTATGTGCAGGAGTGGGGAAGAGGGTGGCACCATGCTACTTAGGAGAGGTGAACCATCCTGCATCAGAAACAGAATTGATTAAAGCTTCCATGCCAATCAGCAATGGGATTGGGCCCATTAGTGGCCACTGTACTTCCAGGCTGGGTAAAATAGGAAGACCCAGTATCAAAAAAGAGGAAAAATGAAAAGAAAATATGGCTCAGGATTAAGAAATTAAAGAAACCAGACTTTGTACTACACCAAAGCCTCCTATGCAGGTATCATGAATAGTTTTTTTTTTAAATGTTTATTTATTTATTTATTAGTTTTCAACATTCACTTCTATAAGATTTTGAATTCCAAGTTTTCTCCCCCTTCCTCTCTTGTACCCTCCCTTCCCTCCCTCCTCCCCAAAATGGCATGCAATCTTATATAGGCTATACATGTACAATCATATTAAACATATTTCCATATTAGTTATGTTGTAGAGAAGAATTAGAACCAAAGGGAAAAACCACGAGAAAGAAGAAACAAAAAAGAAAATAATATGCTTCGATCTGCATTAAGACTCCATAGTTCTTTCTCTGGCTATGGATAGCATTTTTCATCATGAGTCTTTTGGAATTGTCATGGATCACTGCATTACTTAAAAGAGCTAAGTGTATCAAAGTTGGTCATTGCACAGTGTTACTGTTACTGTGTATGATATTCTCCTGGTTCTGCTCACTTCACTCAGTATCAGTTCCTGTAAGTCTTCCCAGGTTTTTCTGAGGTCCACCTGCTCATCATTTCTTATGGGATATATTCTTATGTATCCCATTACATCCATATACCATAACTTGTTGCGCCATTCCCTAATTGATGGGCATCCCCTCAGTTTCCAATTCTTGGCCACCACAAAAAGAGCTGCTATAAATATTTTTATTATGTGGGTCCTTTTCCCGTTGTATGATCTCTTTGGGATACAGACCTAGAAGTGGTCAAAGAGAATGCACAATTGTATAGCCCTTTGGGCACAGTTCCAAATTGCTCTCCAGAATGGTTGGATCAGTTTACAACTCCACCAACAATGCATTAGTACTCCATTTTTCCCACATCTTCTCCAACATTTATCATTTTCCTGTTTTGCCATGTCAGCCAATCTGATAGGAGTGATGTGGTACCTCAGAGTTATTTTAATTTGCATTTCCATAATCAATTGTGATTTAGAACATTTTTTCATATGAGTATAGATGGCTTTAATTTTTTTCATCTGAAAACTACCTGTTCATAACCTTTTCCAACTGGAAAATTACTTGTATTCTTATAAATTTGATTCAGTTCTCTCTATATTTTAGAAATGAGGTTTTTATCAGAGATACTGGCTGTAAAAACTCCTAGCTTTCTGCTTCCCTTCTCATTTTGGTTGCATTGGCTTTGTTCATGCAAAACCTTTTTAATTTAATGTAATCAAAATTACCCATTTTGCATTTCATAATGTTCTCTGTCTCTTGTTTGGTCATAAATTCTTCCATTCTCCATAGCTCTTACAGGTAAACTATTCCTTGCTCTCCTAATTTGCTTATGGTATCACCCTTTATGTCTAAATCATATACCCATTTTGACTTAATTTTGGTATATGGTGTAAGATGTTGATCTATGCCTCGTTTCTGCTGTACTCTTTTCTACTTTCCCAGTTTTTGTCAGACAGTGAGTTCTTATCCTAGAAGCTGGAATCTTTGGGTTTATCAAACAGTTGATTACTGTAGTCATTGACTACTGTGTCTTGTGTACCTAACCTATTCCACTGATCCACCACTCTATTTCTTAGCCAATACCAAGTAGTTTTGATGATTGCTGCTTGATAATAGTTTTAGATATGGTACAGCTAGGCCACCTTCCCTTGCATTTCTTTTCATTAATTTGCTTGATCATGAATACTTTTTTCAAGAGAATTGGAGTACACTGAACATGATAAGCACCAAGTACCATTATTATATTTTATCAGACAGGAAATGACTATTCCTTCTCTGTCTCCTTTCCTGGATCCTCATACAGATCATGCCCTCTATCCATAGGTGTCCCACCGGGCTCTGTTCTGGGCCCTCTTCTCCCTCTATACTACTTCACTTGGTGTTCTCATCAGCTCCCATGGATTGAATTACCATCTCTATGCTGATGATCCTCAAATCTACCTTTCCGGCCCCAATCTTCTGTTGACCTCGAGCCTCCCATTACAAACTGGCTTTCAAATATCTTCAGCTGGATATCCAGTAGACATCTTCAACTCAACATGTCATTATTTTTCCTCCTAAACCCTCCTACCTTCCTTATTATCCTCCCAGTCCTTCAGGCTCATAACCTGGAAGCATCCTGGACTCCTTGTGATGTCTCTCCCTTTATATACAATCTATTTCCAAGGCCTGTTAATTTCACCTTTGCAAGATTTCTCTAATATGCCCCCTTCTCTCTGATGCTGCCACCACCCAAGTGCAGGCCCTCATCACCATGCCTGGATTATTGTAATAGCCTGCTGGTAGGTCGGCCTGCCTCACATGTCTCTCTACTACAGTCCATCCTCCATTCAGTCACTAAAGTGATTTTCTTAATACTCGGGCCCAACAATGTCACCTTGTACTTAATAAACTCTAGTGGCTCTGCATTGCCTCCAGGAGCAAATACAAAATGCTCTGTTTGGTATTCAGAGCCCTTTATAACCTAACCCCAACTACCTTTCTAGTCTTCTTACACCTTACTTCCCAACACGTACTCTTGGATTCACTGACACTGGCCTCCTAGCTGTTTCATGAACGAGACTCATCTCTTCGCTGCAGACATTGTCTCTGACTGTCCCCTGTACCTGGAATGCTCTCCCTCTTGATCTCCACCTGTTGACTTCCTGGCTTCCTTTAAGTCCCAAGTAAAATCTCATGTTTTATTTAAAGTCTTCCCTCTGTTATTCTATATTATTTAATTGTGCTTCCATGCTAACAGTGCCTTGCACACAATAGATGTTTAATAAATATGTTTAAGTAGACCACTCTATATTCTATATTCTAGTGCCTTCCCTCTAACAGAGGGATCATTTCCAATTTATCCTGTATATAGCTTGCTTTGTATACATTTGTTTTCATGTTATCTTCCCCGATTTGGTTGTAAGCTTCTGGGGGGGAGGGTCTGTCTCTTGCCTCTTTTTGTATCCCCACTACTTAGCACAGTACCTGACCCATAGTAGGTGTTATGTTTATTACTGGTCCATACACCTGGACTATATCCTCAAATTTGCTTTTTAAGAGGAAGAAATAGGGAACAACAGATGGTGCCAGAGAGCTGGAGAGGGAGGGAGAAATGAGAAGGATTACTCATAGAGATTAGGACTCAGTTCTATGTTAAAACCAACCAAGAGAATCATGTAACCCAAGAAATGTCAGCAGACAGAAGCAGCAGTAGAATAACATGAACTTTGTGGGCCCCACCAAGAGCTGCAGGTATACCAGCCAACATGAATGGCATAGCAGTAACAAAGAGGGAGGAGGGATCTGTAGCTAAGGAAAAACAAGAAACAGAGTCACAATATAAAGGAGCAATTCAAACTGTGGCAGTGCTTTACCCCAGGGTAGAACTATAATTTAAATGTACTGGTTTTGTCCCTGCAAGAGGTGGAGATCTAGTAGAGAGATTATGGGAATTGCCTTGACTGCTGGGTTCAGGTGTGAGTTTTTGCATTTTTTTGTTGGTTAAATAAAGCCAGTCCTATATTCAGTGATATGTTAGCGTAAATACTTGCATTAGAACTGAGAGGCCTGTTTCCTTTTTCATATAAACCTAGACATGAGCTAGAGTCTTATATCCCCAGGAGCAACTCTGGGTAGGGGCATGAGCAAAATAAAGAGTATGATTTTTGAGAAGTTCCAAGATTGAACCTGGTCTGTATAATCCCTGAACCTCAGGTTCAGAGAATGAGTTACAGATATAAAGCTCACAATTGATTGTGTGAATATAGTTAGAGAAGTTGACTATTAGAATGTTACTGAGTAAGTAGAAAGCACCAGACTTCCATCTACTACCTTCATAATACCATACTACATTTAAAAAAATATACTTCATATTCATCTTTAAAAGAAAAAAAAATACCATGTACCATGAGGCTTCGTTGATCTCTCCTGTTGTAATCAGATCGCTTTGTTTAAATATTGATTGCAATCAAAGTGAATCATAGAATTTTAGTACTGGATTAAACCTGTATCCCAAGACAGGGCTTTAGTTAAAGCCCTCACTAGTTAGTGAGAAGCAATGGGGCTTCCTCAGTACTGCCATGAGGGAGTAAAAGGGGAAGGGGGAGAGGCATGGCTACTCTTCCAGGGAGTGCATTTCATCCCTGAGGCAGCTGTTTCCCCCAAGC